GAAAGTCAGGGTTGGTGACCACCAGGATTAGGAACAGTCGTTCCTGCCCCATCGAAGGGGGCAGAATTTAACCTCCTCTTGAGCTTCATTCCAGTGTCTGTACGATTTTATGACCATATGGATTACTAAATAAGGTGACAACATGTACCCCACAAACACAGTAATACAGATGTGCACAACCTTTGAAATTAATATAATGTACGTTATGCCATCATGTTACAGATATTTTGTGTTAAACACACAGTGGACATAGCGCCCTGCCAAACAGAACATTACCAGCTATTAAGTTCGTTAGACAAAAAGCAGTAAGCGAAAAAGTGGTGCAAACTGCATCGTGGGGCACTCATTAGCAAGGTAGGGAAAATTTTGCTGTATTATTCAAACACTGTATTCTTTACCATGGGAAGAAACCAGCATGTTCAGTTATTTCCACATATGCACACGGCACAGGACAGGGCCATTTGGACAGAACGACCCAGAAAGCTCCAGACAAAACGAGTAGCAGGTCCTAAAAGTTTCCAGTAGTTTACAAATTATTTAGAAAGTTTTAATTCTAAGAAAGGTGCTCAACATGGGACACTCAGTCAAACCAAGCCTGCTCATCTGAAAGCTGACTCACAAAATAACCAAGATGTCATATACTGCATTAATATCTATACATATATACATATATGTACATTAAGCTATTAATCTGTGTTAGAAGGTATAGGCAAAACTGACAGAATGAAGAGAACTGAGAGAATTCTTTTCCTGAGTTAGCCAGGTTTATTGGTAAAATAGCGTATTCCGCAATGTTAGAGCTTTAGATGGATTTTAAAGGACTGATCTTTTACATACTGATTTTAAAATAAGTGCCGTTTGTGTACTGGCTTCAAATACCTGTTTTGCCAGTAAGTGAGCAAATCACACAAGCAATAGATTACTACAGATATTCAGATTATTTTCTGAAATGATTTTGAAGAGCATTGGATTTTGACTGACACGCTGCTAATATTCTTAAGCACTGGAGAGATCATGTGACGCATACCATATATTGCGGCTCTCGTACGAAGAGGAGATACGTCTACATGAAAATTAGAAGGCAGAAAACTAAATAAAGCAGATGCTAACATTATTTCAACACCTAATAGCAAAAAAAGGGAATAGTCTATTGAGTAACAACAATTTGTTTCTTCTGTAATCAGTAATCTCTTCAATTTATCAAGTTCTACGCTTTCTCAATCTTTTAAAAACTGTATAGCATAGTGTCTTCAGAATCAGTTTGGGAACCTTCAGTGCTTGTTTAGTACGTTTCTAAATTACGTTCAAGGCTGAACAGAGAGCTCTGGCCTGTCTTTCAGTAAAGAGTTAGCTTAGTCGAGGAAAGAGGTGTGTAATTGCTTCGGCATTTCCTTGCTTTTATTTTGAGAGCAGTACTAGAAGAAAAAAATGGGAAAAAAAACATGATAAAGAGAAACCTCAGTCAAGCATTCAAGGATATGTTATTGTCAAAAAGATTCCTGAAGGACTAGCAAGATGGCATAACATACTTTGTTTTACCCTACCTCCTATTTTAAATTTAATCTAAAAAAAAAAAAGTAAAGTGGGGAAATATTCTTATTTCCACTTTAGCCAGAAAGAAAATAAGACACAAATGGAAGATTTGATTTATATCACAAAATAAAGATATATCAAACATATTAAAAACACCCAAACTCAGAATTAAGCCAAATAGCCTGGAACCCAGGCTGACTTTCAGTCCTGTGTCTTAATTACAATTTATTCCTAACTTCCTTCAGATATTGGTTAAACCATCAAAGAAAATAAAAGAGACATAGCACTTCTAATATGTAATCACAGGAAAAATAAACACGTAAGCCCAAATCTATTGCCACCTAAATTCATATAACCAATTTCAGCAACACAAAATGTCTAGGGGGAAGTAATAAGTTGTGAAGCTGAGGTAAAACAGAGCAACTTTTCAAGCTCAAAAAACATTTTTCAAGCTTGTGTGCTTGCAAATTTTTCCAACTTTTATTTGTTGATTTAATAGACGTTATCAACCCTTCCCATAAATCCTAACTCCTCTGAATTATCATGGCAATACCACTATATCTTGAAACTCCTCCTTTCAGGCCCAGCTTGCCTTGCTAGCTTCAGACAATTGTTAAATTTCACATGAAAACAAACAGACCCACAAACCTAACAATGAGGAAGGAATGGCATGGACTGAGTTTTGACTTTAATCCGAAACCACACGCTAGCCCTTGGACTTAACCCCTCGACTGCACATGGAGGCTAGTAGAGAAGCTGGAGCAAACGCTCGAGCTTCCCCATCTCCTCATCTCTCCAGTGGGTAGACAGACTCTGTTGGACTGTGGCTTTTCACCCCATTCACAAGTTACAGCAGGAAAATTTTTTGTGCCACTTGTATTGCCCCAGTGAGAATAGATCCAGACAGAGTTTATGCTGTATCCTTTCAGGGTCTCTAAGCATTAAGAAAAGCTGCCTCTGGTGAAAGAGCAGTACCCTAAGTTTGGAGAAGAACGCTATGAGGAGACCAGCCAGAGCTGGACCGAGTTTCTTGTCTGACTACAATAAAACTACCAAAAATACAGTCTATGAAGATTTATGCTGAACACTTACATTTAAACACTTCATAAACTATCCAATAATTACCTTGAAATATTGCTGCAAAGGAGCGGTATGGCCAGCATAAACTACGTATAAAGTGGATTTTAATCACTTCATAGGAAATAAGTGGCTGGGGATTTTAATTCTATTGATTAGGTAGCAGACATGCATTCACACTTCACCTTCTCAATACTTTCTGAAAACACACATCAGGAAGCAAGCAGTAACTTACCACTGAATAACTGAATGGCTATTAATTGGGTTTGGCTGAAAGTGCCAGAAAAGCCAGTGTGCTCTGTCAGAAATTCTGCCATTCCACTTGTTCTCCAAGCATCATTAAGTTACAGTGCTACTGGCTATCCTTAGCATCACTTTGCTTTTACAAAACTCCCACAAGGCTGAAAATATTGTTCTGTTATCTTTCAATCAATAATTTATGATAAATGTTAAATGTTTTATGTTTACGTTTGGGTAAAAACAGCATACAAATAACAGAAAGTTTCACTTCAGAAATAATCGTTAAGAAATGTGAAGCACAACTTTATTCCTCCGCTTATTTGTTTATTTATTTATTAAAATATGCTGGACAAGAACCTGAGCAGAACAAATTTTAATATTAGAAATCTTAGCTTCCAAACAAATGTGGCTGTTCTGCACCTGAACTATAAACAAATAGTGAAGGAAAATGTGAAAGCTTACCCAGTTTGACAGGACATAAAGACTACCCTAGCCCACAACCATGCATTACTGGTACAATCACTGTACCTGCAGATCATGTCTTGCAGTCTTTAGTTCTGATCCACTTCTGCCATGTGCACAAACTTTCTCCAAATATTAGGAGCTCTAAGTCTCTGGGATAATGCCAGGTCTTATTAGGAGAGGGTAGCTGAAAAATCATGACATACGGAAGTATGAATAGAAAGCTTTCCTTGCTGGGGACAGGACAGACTTCCACTTGCAAAGTGGAATATACGGTTACTGTTGTGTTACTAGATGTGTTTATAGGTGGCTTACCTTCTCAATGATATTTATGAGTGAGAGTTAGGCACTCTTGCTTTTGTAGGAATCCTTCCCGTTTTATGGCAGAGATTTTGTACATTATTTTCTCAGATTTTTTATCATTTGTCTAGGGAAGACAGATGCATGTCTTCAGGGGGAAATGATCAGGTGATAGCAGGGGATGTTTTCCTCATAATCAAGTGCACATGATGATTCATACGTCAACAGCTGTGCCATAAACTTTCTCCTGTGCAGAATAAAATCTGACAGAGAAGAATATTTCAATAGATCTTTTGAGTATGCACAATCACACTCTCCTCAACCTCTTCCTCAGCCAATACATATGCATAGTTTCACCAGGTTTATCTTCATCTTGATTACTCTTTCACTCCACTCCCAACAACCAATCAGGCTGTGAGGTGCCCAAAGTCAACACTCTGGCTTGTCAGTCTCCATCAAAGTTTTTTTCTCAAAACTCATTTTATTTTCAAATAGAAATAATCAAAAGTAGTATCACGGTCACAAAGAAACTATTCTCTTCCCCTATCCTGCGCTGCGCCCATCTCTCTGCAAAGCTCTGTGTTTAAACACTGTATTCTGAAGAAGAAACCAACTGGCAGTGTCAGAACTTCTTCTTGAGTATATATGCTTTGACTCAGCATTTAAAACTGTAGATTAGATACTAAAGAATCACACAGAAAATGGAGAAGTCATAAGAACTACTTACATTAAATTTCTTACCAATACACTGCCTATTTTAGTGAAAAGCTCAGTGTCATGCTCCATGCATGAACATATCCATAATCACAGACTTGCTTGTAAGA